TTCTGTGGGAAACTGCACATCAGAGGGCTTGCTTTAGTTTTTAAAACACCAGCTAAAAGTAACTTCTACTTTTCTTCTACGCTGTTTTTCCTGTCAGAAATTTCACTCGAGTCAACACTGTAACTCAAAGGTGGTGAACCTCATAGTGTGTATTCTGTGTTGTGTTGGTTTCGTTCTCACATTTGTCCTTTTTCATAACTGCAAATTGCTATGAGTATGTCCGTGAGCCTGCATGAAGAGGTCTTCACACAAACAGGGATTTTGGGAGCTGAGAGTTACCCAAACTCCCAGAGCATGGAGCTTCCTCTCTTTCTTTATCACTTGTCAATTCCTGCAATTTGATTTATGGCACAGAGAACACAGTTCAGAAGAGATCATAGAATTGTTTGAGTTGGAGAGCTTTGAAGATCTTCTCATCCAACTGCCCTGCAATGAACAGGGACACCTGCAGCTGTTGCAGGGTGCTCAGGGCTCAGTCCAACCCGATCCAGTCAGAGATGGGAATACAGTGTTGTCTTCAGTGCTTTGAGGTCCCATACCACTTCCCTTCTTTCAAATCTAAAAAAGAAAAACCCAACTATTTGAACTAATTTGAATGTGGATGCTTCTCATTAAAAACAATGCAGTTCCACATTGGAAGTCAAGGTGTAGTGTATACAAACTTCAACTTAGTCCTGTTCCTCCACCCCCACACCCAATTAAACTAAGCACGCATGCTTTAGACATCATGTCTGGCAGTGTATATCCACTTCATAACAGAAGATTTGCTGTTGACATAACTATGAATAGTTTTGAAATTGTAGCTCTTGAGTAGAGAGCTAGGTTCATAAATGAAGGAAAACCTCTTATAAAATTGATTTTAATGTTAACAACAGTCTGATTAAATCTGTGTGCATATCTGTAAGTGATTTTTTAGCTATATCAGAAAAGAATAACGTGAGTGTAATGTAAGAGAGTAACATAATTTCGTGTCAAAATTATTTGGAAATTCCATTTTATTAATCTTACACAAATTTATGCACTGTTAAACATAAAAATGAAGTAAGCAACATTTTTGACACTGTACACAACTTTGCAAGGGATGATGATCAAGAATCCGCCAATAGAAATAAAGAACAAGTTCATTTAAAAAAAAATCTGAAACCCCTGAAATTCGTATGTCCTATGCACTGTTCAGTTATGCTTATTTTTGGTCAAATAGGAGGTGGAAAACCAGCTTCACTGGTGTGGGATATCGGTCACACTGATGTGTGTTGGCAAGTGCAAACATAAGCCGGACACTCTCAGTATCAGTGCCTATATTTTCAGAATACAACATCTGAGATAACATCTTTTGAAACACTTTTTTTTTTTTCTTTTGACAGCTTCAGAGAGTCATGCAAGCAATGATGGGTGCCTGTTTTGCTGTATCGTTAGATTACTAATGTCAGAATTGGTTATCAAAGCTTTTAATAACTGGTGATATTAAACAAACTTTGGTCATGTTTCACCTGGCTGTACGTTTTGTATCACTTTGGGTATATTTTCAGTCCCACATGAGCTATTTCAAGGAGATAATCTGGATGCTCATTTATTTGTTTCAACTACAACTGTAGCTTTTATGTATTTATTTAAGTAGAATTAGGAGGAGTAGATGAGTTTTGGCACTGGATGACCCTCAGGTTGCTAGAAGCTGAGTCTGAGGTGTCCAGCTGGAGCTCAGAGACTGGCAGTGCAGCAGGTCACCAGTAAGACAGTGTGGTAAAAAGAAACCTCCATAAAGCAAGCAGTGTGTCCGGAGAAAAAGAAAACAAGTGAAGCTCCAAGCATGCAAGCCCATCTTCAGGTGGTTTTCAGGAACGCTTGTTAGCACCAACTAGAAGCTAATATTAGGTAAGAACTAGACCAGTTCTTTCAAGGGATGCGTATGGGAGTTTGGTGTCTAGTGAAATCTGAATTTGGTTTACTTTTTATTCAAAGGTGTGAAAACCTTAGCACTTCTTACTACTACTGAGCTCTTTTTCTGCAAAGAGACTTGCACACAGCCCAGATATTCAGGTGTTTCTCTCTGCATGCTCCTGTCTCTTCAACTCTCCCAAGACTTTTCAGACCATACCTTAGTGTGTCCTTTTAGTCATCTTTCAGTTTCAAATGGCCACGGTTTGACCATATCTCAGCTCACATGGTGTGTCTTACCTTTATAAAAAGATATGTTACACTGATGTACTAGGCACTGCTCCTCTTCTCTGAGCACCAAGATGCCCATGCTTGGCACACCAGGACAGAACCCATTGCACTGAAGCCAGATACATTGTAGGCTGCCCCTTGCAAGCTCCTGTCCTGCGGTTAGAGGAGAAAGAATCATAGAATGGCTTGGGTAGGAAGGGACCTCAAAACCATCTAGTTAGAGCATCGTGATCTAGCTGTAGGTGTCCTTGTTTGTTGCAGGGGAATTGAACTAGATGACCCTTAAGAATCTCTTCCAACTCAGTTGAGTCTGCAATTTGATGATTCCTGCCCATGGGCAGGGCTGCCCCCCACCAGCTCAGGCTGCCCAGGGCCCCATCCAACCTGGCCTTGAGCACCTTCAGGGATGGGGCACCACAACTTCTCTGGGCAGCTGTGCCAGCGCCTCACCACCCTCTGAGTAATAATTTCTTCCAAATATCTAATCTAAATCTACCCATTATTGGTTTAAAGCTATCAGCCCTTGTCCTATCACTACACTCACTGATAATTGCAACACTCCATGATAAAGGAGAAAAATCTGGGTTTTGTCTAGATGCTTGGTGTAGAACTGAATGCTACCCAGCTTGGTCAGCTGAATGCTACCCAGAGAATAAATGTCCTTTTCAAAAACTCTGCAAATATGAATGTTTAATATATCTTTAAAAAATGTGCATAGAATCATAGAATCACCAAGGCTGGAAAAGACCTCCAACACCATCCAGTCCAACCATCCACCTACCACAAATATTTCCCCACTAAACTATGTCCTTCAGTACAACATCTAACACATATATGCGTATTTAGTAACTGTGTATGAAAGAGCTATATGTCATTGTTTAGATTTTGATGTTAATAGAGATACATGTATGTAAAGTTGCTCATATTTTTTAAGGGGATTGTAGCCTTTGTCTAACTGTGCTGCTTTAATGATAATATTATCCTGCAATAATTTAAACCCTTGGCCTGTGATTATTCTGGTGAATGTAATTCCCACATAGAAACATTTATGATGGCACACTGTAATCTTTGCTACAGATTATCTAGGCATAACCAGTTCAGTTTTGGGGAGAATAAATTGCATCTGTGCAAATTAATCTGTGTAAATCAGACTTAAGTCTCTCCAAATTTTGACGCCAGATTCAGCATTATGGTTTCGAGAGGAGCAGATATGACTGACCTTACTTAAATTCCTCAATAAACAGACACATGCAAACAGATTAGAGAAAATTGTCTTAGAAATAATGGAAAAAAAAAAAAAAAAAAGTTTAGTAATAGCTAGGGCATAAGGAGGATTATTAAAAAAGGAATCTACAGATGATAGTAGAGAGAGAATTTCAAGTGCTCCTCCTGTTAGATATGCCTCTTGAGACCCTTACCAATCTAAATTACCATGTCTTTCCTAAATGGGGGAGATGGACGAGGGGAGGAGGAAGGTAGAAAGCATCAGCTTTTTGAGTACTGAGTGGCCAACCTGAAGGTTTGCAAAATGTATGTAATATTTTCATCATTTACCCATCACAAGACAGAGTTAAGGCACTGTCTATATTCCGAATCATTGCAACAATGTCTTTGCCACAGTGACTTCGTGAAATTAACGAAATAGTAATAACAAATACTTGCAACAGTCATTCACCATGTCAGAAAGCTGTGATTGAAGAAGCAAAAGAAACCGCTCTGTCTTCAGTGAACACTAATGAGCTCTCAGCTTTCCAATTGGTTAACACTTCATTTGTTTACTTATTTTCACACCACAGTTTGCAAAAAGCAACGGTTAGGAGTAATGTAGAAGATGGCACATTTTGAAATGTGTCTAATTATGCCTCCTAAAACAAAAGCTTTTGTGTTTTCAGCTATGTATTATGCATTTTGTTCCAAGCAGTGGGAATTCCAATGTATTCCAATCTCCATTTTTATAGCAGCATTGATGCAGAATTTGCCTGCAATCATGTGGGAAGCTGGCTAATCAGTTACACATCCACATTAAGCATGCTGCTGTTGCTTCACAAAACACACACACGGCATTCACTGCATGTGGCTATACAAATTCATGTCTGTGGTGGCAGAGAGATGTGAAGCGCTGGGTGTTTGTCTGCTTTATAAATAATGAAGGAGAACACCTGTCCACTGGTAGATGTGGGAGAAGTGGAATTGATATCACAGCTTTGCCAACCTTTGCAAGCACCTGAGAGCTTCGGAGACTGCACTTGAAATTATTCTTTCTGGCCCGAGAAATACTTTCTCCTTCTGAAAAATTTGGTTGTAATTAAGTTCCAGCCAAAACTAAAACTTCACTCGGTGGATTAACTTGGCACAGAAGATGATACAGATTTCCCCTCTGGAAAGCTATGGTGAAAGACAGGTATTGCAAGGATTTTTGTCCTCTGAGGAACCTTTCTAGAAAGGTTTGACCAGCCTTTTCCATGCTAAACTGAGAACTGGGGAACAACTGTTTAGAATAGCCAAGGGAACTTCCATGAACTGATACTTCTGTTGAAAATCAGAGTGAAAACTGAGAAGACAGAAATTTTTGTTGAAGTTTAAATAGGGAGATGCTGTAATTAAATCATATACTGACTTTGGTCTTAATAAAGGAAGGGTTGTTTTGTTTTTACCATTTTTATTAGATAGGGAGGTTGACGGCTCTGCCTGTGGCAAGGAGGTTGGAATTTGATGATTCTTGAGGTCCCTTCTAACCCAAGCCATTCTATGATTCTATGATTCTGTGATTCTATGATTGTATGATTTGTTTTCTCTTTCTTTTTTCCTTTCTTTTTTTTTTTTCCAGAGTTACATGTTATTAGAAGAAACAACAGTAGCTGCCGCTGGTAGGGAGGTTTCCCATTTGCTCTGAAGGAGGCCATGTTGAAGCACTTTCTTAAGACACCTTCCAGTCTGAGTGTCAAAAAAAGATCATCTAAGATGATCCGATTTTTTAAAAATAGAGACGAATTTGAGGTCACTGCTTGGTTTTCATGCCCTGGAGCAACATGCAGATCTTACCTCTGAAAGGTAATGCAGGAAAATATTCCTCAGCTGAGTGAAGATTGCAAGAATCCTGAAATTATTTGATCTGTCATGGGGGGATGCTTCTGTGAAACTGCCAGAGGACTTCAGCATAGAGCATCTGGTGTCTCTGCCCTCACCTACCTGTGGCAAAGTCCGAAATGAACCACACTTGGACATATAACCTGAGCTTTGGTGCTCCTACAGATCCTGTTGAGCAAAGAGCTGGACTCTCACGAAATGGGCACACAGTAGTGGCTGTTTTTCTTGGATTTATCTTGTTCTTTGGTTTCCTGAATAACTTGATTGTCCTCATCCTCTTCTGCAAATTTAAAACCCTCCGTAACCCTGTCAACATGCTCCTCCTGAACATCAGTATCAGTGACATGTTAGTCTGCATCTCAGGCACTACCCTGAGTTTTGCATCTAACATCCATGGCAAATGGATTGGAGGGGAGCATGGTTGTAGGTGGTATGGCTTTGTCAATTCCTGCTTTGGTAAGAGTTCTCTTATTCTATTCTTTTCAACAGAGGTGAATGAAGCAACTCAGTGATTTAGCTGCTGTATGGTTAAAAAGAGCAATGCTTTGGTTTACTTGTTACAGTAAAACAGAACTGAAATTCATTGTGTAAAAAATTTTAACTGAAGGCTTTATACAAGAGCAGAGAGCTGACAAATATTCTTTAACATATCCAATTCTTTAAATAACTCATTTAAGAGCTAAAAATGGCATCTACAAAGAGGAATTACTTCTGGAATAAGGAATTAGAGTATGTGAACATACACTGCACTTCCCTTTTTTTCAAGAAAATCTGTGCCAACAGTAAACAGTCCCTTCAGCATTGCTTCTATCACAAACAAAGCCTCATGAAAGTTCTCCATGTGTCATTTGTAATTATCTATTGATCTACAACATGAATTCCCTTTTGTCCCAGATAATGACAGTTTTTATCATTAGATGCTTTCTGTTCTCCCCCAGAGCAAAATCTTTATTTGAAAATTACATAATGCAGATTCAATAACAAATTAAGTCATGGGACTAGATGTCAGAAATACTCAAAGTGTGCATCCATGCTGTAGATAAATAGTATCTTTGCATCCTTCCTCTGTGCAGATAAAACATTTCCCACAACAAGCTTTTGCTGTGTTAGATTTACATTCTTTAAATTCTTTAAGTTAAAATTATTGTATTATTTAAATTATAAAAAAGATAAAACAGAAAAAAAGATTGACAGACAGACAACAGCCATTGTCCTTCCAAGGTGGCCGATCATTTTCAGAATTGCATCACCTAACAGCAGTGCTTGGTTCATTTATTCCTGTGCCAAAATAGATCTGTTAAGACATGATCTGTCCTGTGGCCGTTAGTCTAGACGTGACTCTCACTCAGTCTGCAGGACCCAGTCTGTCTTGCTCTACACCCTTGTTTCAATGGCCTCTAGGCTGCTGGGGCAAGGCCGAGTACACCCAAAGGTCTACTGCCACTGAAGCTAGGGTGTGCGTCATGCTGGTGCTTTGGCCTAAGCAGTACTTTGTTAGTCCTTGATGTAGAGTAAGAATGCGGATCCAAATCCCTGTGTTCTACCTGTATTGTAAACTCCTGCTGTTTCCAGCAGTGTACTCTCATCTGGTGCCCTTCCCTTCCACAAACTTGTGCTTCACTAATAACAGTTATCTCAACCTGGCAGTTTCCCATGGGAAGCTCCTGCTTTGCCCAAAGTTGTGTAATATAAAAGCACAGTCTTCATGTATCCAAAAATAAACTCCATTATCAGCAACACCTTGGCTTGGTTTTGGAGGGTGGTAGTTTGTTCTAATCTGTGCAGATCTAAAATAATGTTTTTCTTTTCCCTTTTTCTGAAGGAGGCTCTGGTTCCTTAGCTGTCTGGAGCTTTAGCAAATAGCTTCCTCAAAGTAACTTTGTAGAAATATATTCACATGGGAGGCACAGGGTTTTGGATATATTCCCAAGCCTTTGTTGCTCTGTCTTTATAACTGCAGGAAAAACACAGAGCTGAATGGTTCAGTCACAAGTTTTCTCAGAGAGGGAAAGTTTAGGGCTGAGTTCTCTCCATCCAATTTACCCTCATGTTTTATTATTTAGGAAAGGGATGGGAAGATAACACTTGAATTGAGAAGAAAGAAACACATGTGCTTAGGGAATTAGAAAAAAACATATGTTGAAGGAGTCCTTTTGAGCTTGTTGGCTTGTCTGCTAGGATGCCAGTGTGTTCTCATCCCAGTTACTGTGGACTCAAAACAGCAAAAGGGTCGGCTGCCCTTGGGTGGAATTGCTTGTGGACTGATTCTTCAGATCTGCTGTATAAATGGCAGGTTTCCCTGTTGCAGTGACACCCATGTTCGTGCGAGAGGGCCTGGTGCAGTTTTAAAAATGGGTTAGATTGGCAAAGGAGCAGCATACAAACAAAAGCAGAACCGAGAGTGCTAAGGGTAACTTCAGCTCCACTTACTGTTTCTTCATTTGTTAGCAGAGTGGTTGGGCTGGCTGAGTCTGCCTGCCTGCTGGCAATTACTGAACTTTTGTACATGGAAACTTTTCCTAACAGTGCTGAATTCTTTTGCAATTCCTTTTACAAAGCCTTGCAACACTCACAACTAATAGAGCATAAGGGGCATGCTGCAGAAGTTCCTGCAGAATTGTAATTAGAAAGTGTTCTCTGGAAAATAATATGAGTAAAAGCAAATAATACTAGCAGGAAGCTTAACATTCACACATCTCTATGGACAGCTTATACCTGTAGATAAATACCATTGTTCATACATTTTCTTGAAATTCTGAACTCTAATATGGGCTAAGGAAGAGCTAATGCAAGCGTGCAACAGGCTGACAGCATTTCAGTTCTTCATAGTGCCTGAAAACAAAATTCCTAAGTGTATGATTCTTTTGCATCTCATGTGTGTGCCAAGCGCTACAAACTGAGCACTGAATACCTGAACATCTTAGGGACATGCTAATGGGAATGGTTAATTTTTTTCACAGTATTTGGAAAATGATCTGAAAGAGGTATGTGCTCTGAATCCTCCCCCCCCTCCCCCCCATTCTGAGATTTTCAGATATTAATGGTAAAGGGAAATAAACAAAAGCAACATCTTATTCATTCTTTTCCTTGTCTTCCGTAAAACTTAGCAGTGATTCAGGTACTTGAGAGAAGTTGGTATATTCTCTATTGTAACCTGATGGTGTAAGACCTCACAGTGTAATCACAGAAGATAAGGAAATGGATATTTGTCAGCAAGATGAGTTTCTGACACCAATGTAGTCCAGTTCAGATCACAGTCTTGATCACTATGGATATGTTGTGAGTGACAAAGTGGATTAGATTTATAAACATAATTGCAACAACTATAAATAATAGAAAATAATGGCTACAATATAAAAGACTGCACTGTAAAAGGAACACTTGTGAGCACATTATATGTGACTAAGAAGGAGACCATTTATTTGTATTTTTAACAGTTATTTGCAATCCTTTAACTATACTTCTCAAAAGTTGTATGCTTTTCATTAACTGAAAGTTACCATACTCTCTGTTGTGCCTTCTGCCTTGTTTTGGACTGTCAGAGCTCAGAGGAGTGGCCCTAATGCTCAGGATCCATAATGAGAGTCATGTTGTAGGAAAGAAGAATTAAAGTTAAACATTTCAGAGAAGAGAAGGCTCTGTAGAGACCTCATTGTGCCCTTCATATATTTGAAGGGAGTGTATAAACAGGAGGGAGAACGGTTGTTTACAAGGGTGGATAGTGATAGGACAAGGGAGAATGGTCTGAAACTGAGACAGGGGAGGTTTGGGTTAGATATTAGGAGGAAGTTTTTCACTCAGAGGGTGGTGACACACTGGAACAGGTTGCCCAAGGAGGCTGTGGATGCCCCATCCCTGGAGGCATTCAAGGCCAGGCTGGATGTGGCTCTGGGCAGCCTGGTCTGCTGGTTGGTGACCCTGCACATAGCAGGGGGTTGGAACCAGATGATCATTGTGGTCCTTTTCAATCCAGGCCATTCTATGATCAAGTTTTGTAGGAATAAACCCTGTAAAATTATTACTTAGTCTTTTTTTTCCCCTTTTAATTTTTTTTTTTTTTTTTTTCTCAAGGGATAAAAGTCTGTCCTGCTAAAACAAATTTCTTTATAGAACCAGAATTTAGTATGATATTATAATAAGTCTATAAGCTTCATTAGAATTGTGCTCTCCCGTACTAAACAGTGGGAAACTAAGCCTCATGGCAATTATTTGATGATGTATAAAACAAACAAAAAACAACTTCAAACTGTAAAATAATAATAATAATAATGTAATTCACCTTTTAAATCTACCTGAGAAGGTCTGGATTTTAAGTGGTTATTTTGTTCTTTCACACTTTGTTTTGTGGTGCTATGCAAGCCACCTTCTTCCTGTGTAAAATTAAATTGGGAGTAAAGGCTTTACCTGACAGGTCTAGCCTGGGGGAAACTTGAGCCAGAGAAAGTAGGAGGATGAGGTTTGTTTGAAATGCAAATATGTGGCCATAGATCACTCATTTTCTTTGAAATGCCTTATCTTTTTAAATCACGTAAATGTTTCCCTGAGGGGTGATCCACGAAGCAGATCTGATCCTCTTCCTTGCAAAATCCACAGTGCAATTGACATTGCTCACTGTGGAATTGAGCTGCTGTGGAATAAGTCTTTACTGGGTAATTCATTGCTTACCCTGGGCACTTAAAAATCATGAATCAAGAACCAGAACTAGGGGAGTTGCCATGGGCACAATGGAAAAAATATGGACAAAGAGTAGTTGCTTGCTGATTTCCACACCTCTGCTTTCAAACCATTCTCTGAAGGCAGATGGTTTAGAAACTAATGGGCAGTGCAGATGCTGATCAATAAGCATTTAATGTGGATTTTAAGGAGAACAGTAAATATTACGAGGCTTGCTGCAGCAGCAAGAGAGCTGTTGGGATTTTATTTGGGGGAGCAAAAGGAATGGAACTAGAGGAGGGAAAGCAGGGACTGTTCCTGTCATAAATTATTTTTCCCTTGTGCTTGTGCGTGTTTGCAGCTCTGTCAAGTGGGTCACTGCAGTGGAAACTGCACATCACAGAGTTGGAGAAATGGATGGATTTTCTGAATTTGTCCTTGTTACCCATCACTTAGACACACTTTGGTAGGTTCGTGGCCATACGTTCAAGCAAACATGGAAAGGGACACAGGGACAGGAACATGTTCCCGAGTGAACTTGGAGTAAACTTTGTAAGCAGCCTGAAAAACAAATTGTTAAATATATTATGTCATGATTCAGCACTAAAATTTAATTTAGGAAAAATACATTATTTAGTAAAACACTCCCACAGAGAACGTGTATCTACATGCATATTGTCATGCAGCTTTGACCATCTCGCACATATTGCCTCCAGTGTCTTGTTAAACACTTCACATTTCTGGACAGAGAAAGCTTTGAAGGAAATTTAATCTTTTCCCAATATATTTGCACCACTGTAGAC